GCCTCCCGGAGTTGGAGGAAGAACGCTTCATCAGTCGGCTCCTCTTGATCTGGCGGCCTGTAGTAGACACCAACCACCAGGTTCCCTTTGTTGCCTCTCTCTCTGATTCTTACCCATAAGGGCGCGCAGGCAAGGCGAGTGTTGAATTACTAGTGTTGAAGTTAGGAAGCTACAGTCTGTTTGTTACACATCTGTCTCTGTGTTGGTCCTATTTTACTGTGAGGATTTGGCACCATTTGTTCTGTAACAGTTGTCTTGGTAATGTTTCTATTTTTATCCCTTATTTGACCAACATACCAGAAGTTCTTACCTTGTTTGTCTTCTCCAGTAGAGTAACTTCTAAGTGCTCTTGGTGATTTTCTTTTTGCTGTGGAGTGTTCAGATAATTTCTGATTCTGCTTTGATCTGGTAGAGAGATTATTTACTCATGTCTGTCTTTCACCCTCTGCAAATAGTCTTAAATGGAAATACGCAGCTGTTTTGCCTTATTCTCATCTCTGTACTTTCTAGGGGCCTGGAAGTTTAGAAAGTGGCTGAATTCACCTATGGCTGCTAAACTTTAATGCTAAAAGTTTGGCAGCACTGTTTTACAAAGCTGTGAGGATTTTTTTTCTTAACAAAATAGTCTGTTCTCTGTCACAAGTACTGTGGGCAGTTGTGTGAGGTGGACAAGTCTGACCTGAAAGAGGGCCTGAAAGCTTCCATTGGGTATCCTTGCATATCTGGTCATCTGACCTGAGACATGCTAGACAGGAGGCAAACTGGTCATTAGTGAATAATATTTCTAATTCTGTTTCCCTCATCCTCCCTATTCCATATATATATATAATTCTTTCATTGCTCTTCCAACCTCATAATTGCTAAGGACCATATAGACTGCCTCTGGAGCGGAAGTCACCCTGAAATTACTTAGAAGGTCTATATCTGCAAATAAAACCACATCATTTCGGAAACTTACTAGTCAAACCTTTTGTATGAAAAAACATCTCCATGAACTTCAGTCCATTCACAAAACAAAGGTCTCTTACCCCTTTTTGAAATAAAAGAATTCTAGTGCCCCATAGGAGTTTTTGTTGACTTGTTTCCATTTGTGTGAGTGAAGGTAGAATATGGTTCATTTGATTCTGTTCTCATGCAGGTAGAAAATGGAGCAATCGAGATTTGATCTGTGTATAACGAAGATCCTTTCCCTATTTGCTTTTCTTAGAGAAACGATTGGCTGTTTTCATGCCAGTATATATAACCACGATGTTTTAATTTCCCTGTGGTTTTTTGCATTGTGGCAACCACAGTGAAGTTTATGGAGCATTGTGCCCCAAAACCTATTTTTAGGAGGACCAATGATAGCTATTTTCAAAGTATTTGGCTTGTTGAAATCCCAGCACTTTGGTGAACATAAATAAAACTAATATTCCATGCTGGATATTTTGGATTGAGGGTAAAAAAATTACACTAAAACTTGCAAGAGGTTTTCTTAAAATCCATTTTAGGTTTCCACAGAATTTGCAAATACAGCACCTTCCAACTTCTTACCAAAGCCTCCAAAGCACGAAGAACCACTAGTTATTCAAACACCAAGCATCCTGGCCAGAACCTCAACAGACTGGTTAAAGACAAATGGATTGAAAGGTAGCACAGAAAGAAAAGCTTAACAAATATTAAATGGGAATTAAAGACAGAGCATGTGTTTTATTTAATTTCTTTGTTCCTTGCTATAGCTAAAAAGTTAAACCTTTATCAAGTTTTGGCTCCTAATGCTTTCTCTCCCGTGGAAGAATTTGTACCTATTCTTAAAAAAACAGTATCATCAACTCTACATGAGGTAAGTGATGGAGACCCTTTTTTTTTTTTTCTATTGCTACATTTTTCTAATTAAAACCAGTACTTTATAAGTTAGTGAAATTCTACAGGCTTTAACTGAAATTTGAGTTGTAGATGCAAATCAGATACTTATGCCATTCTTAAGAAATTTTCAGGAAGGAATTCCATGTTACTGTAGCTTGTATAGGCTTCTGAAAACACAACTATTATTTATCCTTCTAGAAAGCGATGACGCAGTTTGAATGGTATGATGGAACTGTGAAAAATATTCATGTTGATCTGCCAGTATTATACAACTATCAGGTGAGTTGTCTATAGTGATGTGTCCTTGTCAGGGCTAGATTACCATCTTAATTATTCCACATCAATTGTCTTGTTACATAAGTACTGCAGGGATTCATGTGCAGACAGCTGCCCATGTAAGTCTGCAGTGATCTGGTCAGACCTGGGACCCAGGTTCTTGTGGTAGTGAGGAAGGAAGTTAAGTAAGAGAAAGAGTCCATCAGTGCTGCTCATAAATACAGCGGTGTGCATTTTGCTGTCTATGTGTAAGAATGTATTTACATTATTTTACCCACATATGTATGAAACCTTTAGCCTGTACATTGAAAAAATACAATTCAATAGAGTACTTCTTATTGCTTTAACAGAACTGTCTCATTTCATCTTGGTTTAACCATTAAAAAAAAAAAGTTTTGTATTTTCTTTTATCTCTTTGAAAGTCAAACAAGTTTTATGAAGAAGAATGTCTAATTGTTACTGGCTAGACCAAGAAAGACTCAAGGCATAGCAGGAACACTCTAGGAAGTAGTGTAGGAGCAAGCTTGGATGATTGTTGTGTGACTCAAAAGATGTTGTGTGATATGAAAGTATGTGCAAAAGCACATAACATAGCAGCAAACCAGACCCTCTTCCTGTTGTAGCAACCTAGTCCCTCAGATGTGTAGGAAAGAGAGTCAAGACAAGGGATTATTTTGAAATAAAAGTTTGATTTTAAACTATCAAATAATCCAGAAGACTGGTTGAATAAGGGATTATAGAATATACTGTGACATGAGTTTCTTTGGTAGCTGAGCTTCTCTCAACTCCGTGGATGGATGGATGGAGATAGGGAGAATGGTGAATTAAGGGGAATGATGAAAAAACCCACAGTATTCCAGATCAGTGATGTTGATTTCTGCATGCAGGGAAGATGGCAGAAGCATGAAGAAAGCCACAGGGACAAAATTAGGTTGCCTTGGTCAGGGTCTTGCATTTGTCTGTATTCTGTTTGGATAATGTGTACATACACATGAGTTTCTTTCTCCTGTGTAGTTTGGGTGGATCCTAAAGCATCCAGCACCTGCTCTCCTTCTGTTAGAAATCCTGCTGTAATACCTTAAGACCAGTAGTGTAGTACAGTCCATATGGAGAGTCCAGTAGGATTTGGAAGTCTAGTTTATATTCTGAATTCAGTAACTGAACTGTACTTTCAGAGACATCATGTTAGCCTTTTCATTGTGAATCCTTCACCCTTTCCACATCAGAAGTAGCTAGTAGTCTCCACTGTAAAATGATGAGATCCAAATCTAGTAATTTCTTCTTGATTGCCAAATGGTAATCTGGAGATGGTCACATCAGAAGTAACTCACTCTGAAGTTACTCTTTTACCCAGAGTAGCATTTTAGCCTTGACAGTGTTCCTACAACACTCTTGCCATGCATTTAGACAGAATATATTTTTGCTAATGTGAATGTCAAGGACAAATTATTTTGATGTGTTTTCAGCATAACCGACCTTTTTTTAAGAATCAGAAAGCAGAAATCATTTGTGCTTTATAGAAGGTTGTCATACTTCTGCTTTACTCTGAAGTGTCAGTAGAAGCTGGGTATTTGTATTTCATTATTTTAGGATATGCTCAACTGTTCTTTATACTTAATGTGAATTCTAAAAATTTTGTCAGCATAGTGCTGCAAACTACATCCTCCTAAATTGTTCTGTTTATCCCCTTCATCTACAGCTTGTGTGCAGGTTTGGGTTGGGTTTTTTTTTTCCTTCTTCTTCCAAAGTGAGTGTGGTATGAGGAAACTACACTCTTCAGGCTTAGCTGGGTATGTGTGGACAGTGAATGTAGCTTTATGTGCAAGGTGTAATACTGTGGAAGGATTTAAGTCCTGGGAAAAACAAGAGGATTGTGTCATTGTGCAACATGGAATGACAAGCAGAGGCACCCAGTGCTTTCAGACCTAGAGTTCCGCATTCTACACTAGGGACAAGACAAGAATTGTTCTCATCCTGGGGCAAAAAGTAGCAATTACGAAATGGAAGCTTGTAAGCCTTGTTTGCTATTAGTTAGCAGGAAATTAGTGGGAAACTACTTTAATGAAAGGGGTTCAAGAAGGTTGAACCCTGTTATGTAGGCTCAGAAAGCTGGCTAGAGTTCAGGAAAAAAAGTAGGTTTCTCCAGCGATACTGACTGCCCCATTTAGTTTAAGAAATCTGTGTAATGCTTATAAAATGCCTGCTCCGTGCCTTCCAGTCTGTAACAGTGTGTATGAAAGCTATTTCTCGGTCTTTCAGGCCTGTAGGAATCCCAGTCTTTTCTATAGCAAGCGAAGTGAAGTTTGCCTTGGAAGATTGAAAGGATCGGTGAAAATGGTTTAATAAGACTGAAAGTAGAAAAAACATCCAGTTACGTACTCTGGCCCACCCTTGAGACAGAGAGGGAGAAGTTGGTGATAAATATGGCAGACAGAAAGTAGGCCAGCTAACTGTTTCTTTTGTGTGGCATGTGTGGTGATCGAGTGTCGCCTGTGTCACAGTGTAAACTGTGATCGAGTGGCAGGACAAAGTAATAGCTGAGTGGCTCAGTGTCTTGTAACATAAGTGAATTTTTCACTGGGTAACTTTTTACCAAGTAAATGATTTTTAAACTTTGCAGGTGGCATTGACTTTGGTGTCTGTCTAAAGGGAATCTTTAAAAGAGAGCTCACAAATAGTGTTGTAGGAGGTGTCATTCAATAAGAACTGTAAAATCCCTTATAGATAATAGATTTATGTTAAGTATTGATTTCATCATCTCAAGTAAGAGCAGCTTTTTATTCTAAGACGTGTTCATTTGTGTTAAGCACAGCTGCAATTGTGTCAAGCACAACAGGGTGTCCATTCACTTTGAAGAAAAGAGTGGTGTCTAAGACAACGCTCTCTATGTCTTCTTACCTTTCCCTTCTATCTCCCTCGAGCTACATCCCACACTGCTCTCTGCCGCCTTTACATTCAACCTTAAGTTTTTGAACTGGCTGCACAAACTTATTATCCTGCTTTGCATTTGCCTTCCAGACTTTCTTCAAAAGGATAGCAAGGCTGCTACTAGAATTAGCTCTTTTAAGTGTGGAAGAAGTGGAGATACATACATATAGAAGTAATGATAATGACATACACAAGTAATGATAATGAAGGCCACTGGAACTCTTACAGGCAGTAGTGATTCTTGAGGATTTCCTCCCTGGTCAGAATGCAGATGATCAGAGAGTGGGACAAATTTAATGAAATAGAAGCTGCTTGGGGATATTTGCAGCCAGGGTGTGTAATATAGTAGTGTATTCTGTTCTTTATCTTTTCTCTTTTCTGTACCACTCCACTAGCAGTCCTGACAAAAGGCTATGGGAGTGTTTCCAGGCAGGGCAAATATTTCTTTAAAATGGAGAAGGGATGAAAAATCTGTAGAACTCTATAGTCAGACCACAAAGGAGAGTGTAAAGTTTAACTGGCTGATGTGAAAGCAGCTTCTGGCTACTTGATCACTGGTAGATGCCTGTGCTTGTGCTCCAAAAGCATGCTACCTTATAGCTTTTTTTCGGAGTCCGGTGTCCTTCTCTGGCTCTCATACATGTAATGCATACATATGCTTGCAAAGGTCATATTCTATAGTTTGTACAAATTGCCTTAATGTATTCAAATCGGTACTGTGTTAATGAATGATACATGTTTGAAAGTATTGTGTTTATTTTAAATTATGTGTTTTAGAAATTTAAATTTTCTATATTTTATCCACAGAGACTGCTTGCTAAAATGGTAAGAACCTATGAGAAACGAATTGACTGGCTATCTGTTGCTAGCAGAAGAATATGGGGAAGTGTTTGTGAAAGGAGGTATCGTACTCTGATAGTCCTTTTTTTGTGTATCGGTGATGGTTCTTATTTACCAGCCTTTGCTTTGTGTGTAAGTCAGCACCAAGTAATACAGGGCAGAATATAGTCAGATGTAGAGACAACAGTTGCAGATATAACCAGTGTAAGTAATTCGCTTTTGAAAACAGATGCTGATATTCAGCTTTTTAATAATGCAGTGAATTTACTGAATTCAGGGATCATCAGTCAACACAAAACTGCAATTTCCATGAGACAGAATGAGACTCTTAAATCTGAGTTATCTAACAAGCCACGTGTTTCAGACATGTTTTCGATATTCAAGTACAGAGAAGGAAAAGGACCTGGATAGGGTTAAACAGCCCTTATGGCACTACATGTGCCAGTGCCCTGATCATTGCATAGCTTAAGAAAGATAGACTTTTCCATTATTGTTACTAAATTTTTAAAATCTGTCGTGGTTTAACCCGGCTGGCAACTCAGCACCACGCAGCCGCTCGCTCACTCCCCCCCCCCCCCCCCGGGGGGAG